TTTAGAAAAAACTCTGTTTAATGTGACATAAACTTTTAACTTTATCTAACACTTACGTTATTTATTATTAATCAAAAAGAGATTGTCGATATACACAGATAATAAGCGTTGAAACCGATGAGTTAAACAAAAAAGATTCATTTTAGTCAGTAACACACTCCAATTTAGGATAATAAAAATAAGATGAAAAAAAAAATAATCTATTTTTTCGTCACGAAGCCAGTTTTACATCTTTCTTTCTCCATACATGCAATTCAGACATACACTTATATGAAATGACAGATCAAATGCAATAGTTCATATAAAAGTAAAAGCGAAAGAAACATGACTAAACTTCAATAGTATCTATGTTCTGTTTGACTTTTCTGTAAGCAGTAACATCGACATTGGTTATTTGAACTTTTGTTTATTTGATAGATCTGAAAACATTCTATAAATATGTATGTTAGTGTCCAACCCGAAGTTAGATAGAATCTTATCTTACAATAGACGAATTCAGACGCTGATAGTCTAAACATTTACTATAGAATTGAGATAGAAATTTATGTTAAAAGACAAAGTACTCTGTTGATAACTATTTTTTTGGGATTCTTATCATTGAATTGAGATTTATCTATGTCATTTCAATCACTAGGATAGTAAGAAAATTGAGTTCAACATTGATCTACAGAGTAATTTTGAGTTGCAATAGAAAATTTTTGTCTCAAGCCAATATTGGATGAATCCAATATCAGATCCCATAGTCACCTGAGTCTATTCATTATTACATAGTAGATCTCTCATGCTAGCTATTTAAATCCTGTTCTTTGTAAAAACACTGATATTCATGCGTTTTTTTAATTGAATAGTCTTTTTTCAATCGATGATCGAGGTTCAGAACCATACGAAGTATAAATCGTTGCGACTCTTATTGCCTTTGATGTTGTCTTTGAATTATATCATGTATATCATTTCATGTTGGATGAATGTTTTTCGTATTGATAATACAAATAAAGAAATTATAACAATAATGATTCGCTATGTTAGTCTTTGTAACTTCGTATAATTCATAAATTTGGAAAGTAAAATCAAAAGGAATGACTGACTACTAACTGATCACGTATGAAAAATTTGATTAGCGTTACTTCAGAATTATTCTTGAACATAGTAACATATAGAAATGTCATCAGAGTCATTCTTATAATGAGAGAACTCAATTGTATAAGATCATTTTATGGTAAGAATTTATTTTTACTCTGACGAAAATTCCTTTTTTGTTTTAATTGCACTAATGAAATGTAAATGAACGAGTTTTTGAATCTTTTCGGAAAGAAACTATCTAATGAATAATAAAGTTTATTTTTAACATGTTACCTATCTGTAATGATGATAAAACATAAGAAGTGAAGTCAGAAAACAAATTTCTAGCCAAAAGCTATTTTTGATTCTCTCTACAAGATATACTCGACTCAACAATAAAATGAACCATACTTTTTATAGCCACCAATAAAGAGACGTCTATTCTACTTATTATTCCAAAAGGCTTTGAACGAATTGAGGAATTTTTGCAGCTGATTTCGATGTTCATATTCAATGAAAATTCTATTGAAATTACTGCAGCCTGTAAAAAACGAGTCCACACTAACACTGCTATAACACTGAATCCATTTTTGTCGTTCTAATGATTGGTGAGGTACTTCAATCAAACTTCAAAGTCAATAAAAACTATAAGTCTTGTGTGATGTATTAATAAACTTACTGGAAACGTACTCTTTCCATGATAAAGATTGTTTCAAATGCATTCAAATTGAGAACACAGTAACAAATAATATCCTATACAAAAATGGTTTCAACATGAAAATTCATTTTATATTGCAATTGATACACTACTATTTTCACCGACAACAGTTGGTTTTCTGCAGATCTTTCTACTGATACGAATAATGTTTTATTCAGATTTATTTTTTCTTTAGTGAAATGTTGAACGTTTGGAAGTATTCTTAAAAAAAGATACCATGAGATGTCGTTTTCTATACCTTTGATCTTAATTATTCGTATCGCTCTTACAAAATCTTGAATTTTTGGAATAAAATCAGAAGTGGTTTTTATTTCTAGTTTGTTCAATCTTATTCTATCAATCATGTCTAAACATAATAAATTAGAAACATGCTTCGTGTAGTAGACGTAGTGAGTATGGTAAAGATCTCTTTCTTTATTATATGAGCCGCTGATTATCTTATCATATCACTGAGTATATAATTCGATTCTTTAATTTAGTTGATACTATTGCAAAAACTAGAAATAGAAATGAAAAGGGAGGAAGAATTTGATAAATAACACAAACTAATTAGCTTTGGCTAGAAGTTGATAATTTTCACATTATTAACAGCACTATTGTACACTAACATTATCTAAATGAATGATTGCACACGCAAAGACTTCAGACAGATGGTTAAAGTCAAATTGTTGAGTTTCTTTCAAAGTGTAGGTTGCACGCCACTAATTTTCAAGATGTTTAAGTTGAATAGATGCAGCAGTAGCATTGAAAGAACTTAGAATACACTAGAAAATAGATACAGACAAAGTTTTCTTGACTTTAGAATCTTTAGGAATTTAAAGATCTATGAACGTGTCACTGAGCTCAATCAAAATTTATAAAAGTGAAAAATGGAAGATTCTGGGAAATGTTTTTAGATAAAGTAACACATTGTGATTCTATAATATGAGAATAAATACGTCTCTATCATAAAAACGAAGTTTTACTCACCATTCTAATAATGCAGAATTCAAAATAATTCCCTGACATGTTTATTGAATTTCATCGTTCTGTCATTTACACTTCTTTATCAAACTAACTATTACTATAAATTTATTTTACTGTTTTATCAGCACACAATTCATATAAATTTGTCTTCTTTGAACGGCTTATTGCAATACTCGATCATATTTTACGGCTTTTCATTTGTCACTATTGTACTTCTATTATAAGTTTAATTCTCAAATAATCATAGATGCATTTAAATAGAATATTTTTTAAAGTAATTCATAAGGTGAAAGCTTCTACTTATTGCCATTTTACTCAAGTAATTTCAAAACTACAGTTATTAGCTGAGACCTTATAAAAAATCTAAAGAAGGTCGTTACTTTTTCTAATAGTTTTCTGTACTTGAAAAACCTCATATTGTTTGAATAATTGAATCATTTAAAAAGACACGAATAAATCTTTTTTTTAAATATATGCACAATCAGAGAATCGCAAATATTTCTTGTGATAACAGAAATCGAATAGATCCTTTCTCTAGAAAATAATCATGAAAAATCGAACGAGAAAATATGAAACTGACTGTTGACTCTACAGAATGTGCCAAACTCTTATATACTCTATGATGCTCCATTTGCTCGTTTCACCATCACCTTAGAAACCAAATAAAGATATATATCACTCGAAATTGAAGTAAGGAGAGAAAAACCTTGCCTAAAACAAGGACACGACTAGTGCATTTTTAGATTTTTTCGTCTTGTTTCAATTTAGCCTCGATACATTTGGATATCTGGTTTTCATTGCTATCTGCCTTAGAATAACACAATTTGGGCATTGTTATGTTGCTATTTTTGGTTTGTTTACTCCTCTCGTTTCTCTCTTCAAGATTAACAGTGAATAACTCATTATGTCCAATCACGTATGCATCTATGGTGCTTCTAAGCAACAATTATTTTCCAATTTGCTTACATGCCATAGTCTTTTTTTTTTATTCTGTAATTTTTTGATTAAAAACATATCTAACTCGTTGATAAAATTAATGTTTACTTTCGGTCATGAGATGCAGAAACGACAACCTTCTGTTCTGAATTTTAGCAATTCTGTTTTTCTTTATATTTGCTGATGCTCTTTTACATATTTTCATTAATATTATATCTCGCTTAGTAAGCAGCTGAACACATTCAATGAGAAAAAAATACTTGTTATCACTATTTTTTTCGAGTTGTGATTTAAATCTATCTGTTTGAGCGTTGAAAACGAATTAAGCAACTAAATATTTTTACTTATAGTTTAAAGAATAATTATTTGGAAAATCTTTCCATCACTTTCATAATAGCTACTACAAGAAGATGATGCTTGAATGAGTAATTAAAACAGCTTCAACAACAATGCGCGGTTTGCATATCTCGTCTTAAATAAACATCCAATGAGTTGAATCAGCCCTGACTTCGTCGAATTTTATCGAAAACCGATAGCTAGACAATTTGCCAATACTTATGTTGCGATCAAAGGAAGGTTCCATCAATTTTACTGACTTTTCTAGTTAAGTTAATCATAATCGATCGTTTCTTATAGTGGAACTCTGTATTCTGCATTTTCACTTCTTGCAAAAAATCTAGTTATTTATGAATTAATATATTTATTTTATTTTATTTCAAAGAGAAGGTGTCCTATCGTTTGAAAACTTTCTTTTCTAGAACAAAGAAAGGTGTTTCGAAAAAGATAACAACAACAATCGCAGCCACATAGCTAAAGAACAATGTAGATACATAACTATTCACAAGAGTCATTGGTTGATAATACACAGGCATTGATTGATTAAATAGAGTAACGAAGATGACTGTCGAATGAATCAAATAAGCAGCATAATTCAAACGTGCTAAAGGTGTCCAAATAGAAAAGGATAATATTCGATTAACAATACCACCTTGATTGATACTACACAAAAATATAAGCCATGCAACCGAAATCGACCAAGCGGGTCGAGATAGACTTTGATAGGTAATGAGAGAGGCTCGACTGAGACCAGGCACTAGTACATAATCACCATAGATGGAAAAAATACAAGTCAAGGCAAGTAAAGTAGCGAGAAGAGTGCCGATAACCCGAACGGAACTATGCAAATGATAGGTACGACTCGTATTGACAACAAGAAATCCGGTGAATAGACCGATTGCATATGGTGAGATGCGACACCACGGAGTCATGTAGACTTTGTCGAAGAAATTCGGACCCGTCTAAAAATGAGCATTAAAATAATTCAGATCTTAGAGACATCATTAGGCAACCTTCTTAATTCACTTACCACGTTGCTTGAAACATCCAAACCATGTGTGACCAAACTAGGATAATAGAGAAGAAGGCCAAGGATCGATCCAATACTGACTAATACAAATAATATTGTCATTATGTATCCAATAACTCTTTTTCTCATCACAAATGGAATTAATGCTAGTGGGGCGATCCAATGAAATTGCATGTCATTGAAAAGATACCATGTCACACCGAGACACATATTATCAGATTTAAAAAAGTTTCCAATATACAAAAATGAAATCCACCAATGACCATCACGACAACCAGTCGACTCAAATCCTTGTTGAACAGGATAAAGAGGCCCATGACCAAAATACGGAGTAAGATAAATACTGACAAACATTACCAAAATAAAAGTCGGTGTCAAACGAAGATATCGATGAATATAGTAGAGCACTATCAATCTTAGTGAGAGTTGTTCCTTTTTCACTTGACGAACGAAAAGTAGTGCAGTTAAAAAGCCACTCAAAAGAAAAAATGTGTCGACACTGAAAACGGCACTAGTAATTAACTGAAATGCAAAATTACGCGTATCACTAAGCATATCGATGATATTCGATGTGTAAAAAATGCTGAAAACAAATGAATGACCAAGAATAACCCAGAAGAGAGAAAGAACACGAATACCATTGAGAAATGCAAGTGAATTTTCTTGCCCTTTTCTGTTTATCGTAAAAATATGTCGTAGTGTTCGAATCGCTGAAAAATCTCTCATAAATACGATGATAGGCATTTTTTTGGTTAAAGATTGTAATGATTGATCAGCTAAATTTTGTGATACACTCTTGTTTGAAATCTCATCTGATAAATCTTGATATCCGTTGATAGGTAACTTTTCACTTTTGTTCCACTTGATATACATATGAACAACAAGATCGATGATTGTTCCAATCAGTACAACTAGAGCCAAGAGTAATAGAACAATACTAAAAGCAATAGTACCCGACGAAGGACCATTTTGTTCATTGGCACGATCATTTGAACATTGTAAATTATCTTTAGTCAAATTACGAACTGTGAATATCTCGTGTATGAGTGTGATAATTGATTGACGAGTACAAGATGCTGGCAGACAAAGACCAATTGCCAAATTAAAACCCGTTACTTGTTGCTGGTTAATGGGACTGGATTGAAGAGCACCTAAAGAAAATCAATTTAATTTTCAAAAGAATTCGTGAAGAAAATTGACTTACAATATTGAGTATCGATTGGTTGTCGAACGAACGATTTATTGTTTATTTGATATAGTGGTTTAATACATTCGTCATAATTACCTAACCAAAACATATTTCCTTTCAATATACCAGATGGTAGTGGCTTGCCCCAAGCATCGAACACTTTCAATGCCCATGATTGACGTTGAGATGCAGCAGTTATTAATATTTTCAAATCTCGTGCACAAGCAGTACTCTGATTGTTTGAAGATAATATGTTGGTTGAAAGTAACTCCGGTCGAATTGTTGCAAAGGGCGTATTCACCAAATCATTTACGATAGCTGGATATTGCTGATAAAAATCACGCAATCGTTCAATAATTACATCGAAGCGTAATGGAATTGTTTCAAAATTTGGTTCACTAATAATCGATTGTGGTACAAAGACAAATAAAATGAATACTAGAGCAGCAAACATCATAAGTATATCAGTTATATTGAGATAAAAGTGCAAGCAAAGAATTATGAAACAAAGCAAACTAAGGAAAAACTTATATCAGCTTGCAAAGTGTTACTCATGTGATAACATTATTATTGACTGAATGACATTTATTTAGAAATGGAGTGATCATGTGTTGTCTATTATCTCTCATTGCTTTACCTTAGCTGGTATGCACACTATAGCTCTTATCATTCTTAAATAAAAACAAGGTTTTGCTTGAATTTGGTTGGCTTTGAATACTAAACACTGAGTAAAAATTAATTTGAAATAAAAGATGCAATGTGAACAGATCGATTGGAAGTCCGAGCGTCTTGAGTTTCAAAAACGATAATGGTGGTAGCATAAGTTCTTTTCGGTATCTTTCTATCATTTCTGGTGTATCATAGTTATCATTAGGTTTTTATTGAAAAGAGGCTAACGTGAGAAGCGAACAAATAATCTAAGATATGTACACAGACAGAAAGAGATACAAAGAAATCATACTTTGCAACAGTTAATAAGCGGGAATCGATCACTTATAATTGTTTGCAGAATTTGGTATTGCATTGATTTTCAAGATGAATTCATTGAGCAAAGTATTTCTAGACGAGTAATCATTAGTTCGAGAAAAAATAACTTCCTCCTGGATATTAATTTGAGAAATGGTTCTAAAAAAATTAGAATAGTATCAACATCCAATGGGTATATTTCATATTTCATATTTATAATTATTTATATGTTGCATGAATCAATATATTCGACAATCATCAAATGAGCTTTGCGTTTTATGTTCAGATTAACAGCCTTATATTTTTTGTTTTTGATAATGATGAGAGAAGAGTCAACAAAGCTAATTTTCGTTTAGTCAATAACTTTTGCGAAGTTCGTTACTGATTCTTATACAATCAGAAAAATGTTGAAGTACAGAGTTTTCCAATAAAACAAGCAACAATTTGTACGAAACAGAAAAAATTTTTATCCTACAAAACTAAATTCAAAGATACCATGGAATCAATCAGAATGCAAGAATATATACATTGTTTTGTATTATTATGAAATCTAACACATAGAAAAACATAACCTATTTTTGAATCAATTGAAAACTACGGCCACACCTTTATCCTATGCTATTTTCTAGAAGAAAATCAATAGACATTTCTATACAGATAGATATTCTTATTTTTCTCTTCTGTCTATCGTTCTATCGCTGTCTCACATTCACCAATACTTGTACTTGTATACTAGACAATAATACTCAAGTGAGGCAACGATTCAGGTCTACGTTTTGCACAAGATTGTTGATTCGATTCGAAACGCATTCGATGGTGATGTACAACTTCGTGTGATCCATCAAAAGCATCTTGATGAAGTCGAAAATACCAGTACTCACCATTACTATGTTAACTTTTTCAAGTCCATTGCATTATATCCAATCGAATATTATCATCTTAGACTTGTCTGAAATGATCTTACCAACTGAAACCATTGAAGTCATTCGAGCTGATAGCACACAAATGAAACTTCACAAAAAAAACATTCAACGCTGAAAGTGCCATCGTAACAGTGCAACAGAAACACAAAAACTCAATCAGTTTTGGATGTGAATAGATATATTATTGTTGAGCACACTTAGAGCCACACTTTCTTCAACCAAACTGAACTTTTTCATAGCGCTGGAGTGAAGAGCAATCGTACAATAAAATTAACTAAAGAATATAGAAGTTTTCTTTGCTCATGCTCTTTTACAAAACTATAATGTTCTTGCGTTAGTATAATATTATGCAGTTACAGTTCATCAGCTGAATTCGCTCATGTTGTGTCTGCATGAATCAACCTACCAGATTGAAGATGAATAATCCATTTACCAGTATTTTGATTGAAATCACACGATTGAACAAAGAACATAAAATAAGGAGCGAGTAGACACTCCTCTTCACCGAATAAAGAGTAGGGCGAGATATCACAGCCGTCATGTTTGCCATCAATATCGATGACAAAAAGGACATTATCATATATTTCTGCTAAATGTCGATTTCTACTGGTCGATGTGAAGGATGAAAACACAACAAATTTGTTTGACGAAGCGGAAATGAATATTTGTCGAAAGGATGTAGGTGGGATGTGGGTGGATGTGGGTGTGTGAGGGTGTGGGTGTGAGTGTGGATGTGGGTGTGCGCATGAGTTTGAATTGAGGTCACATTCACACCCATATTTATACCTACACTCACACCCACACCCACACTCCGTCAGCAGCTGGCGCAATTTTGTTCGCTTATTTTCGAAAAGAGACCATGCAGTCGAAGTTTCATTTTTATTCGGATTCGAATTAGGCATCTCATGGGAGAAAATAGTGCACAAAAGAGAACAATAAAGAAAGAGTAGGAAGGCGGTGAATAAGAAGAAAGCGCAAATGAAGGTGTCATTGATAGTCGATGCTTTTATCGGCACACCTTTTCTTCAATTCTCATTTGCTTTTGCCTTGATAATGTTGAAAATGCATTTTATGCTTACTTTCTAACCCTACTAATAAGGGTAGTTTTTTTGTCGAAGAAAGGCAGAGAATAACTGCAATATGTGATGAATTATCGTCACTTTCTTATTTGTCATTGGAAAAAAACAATCACAACGAAAAAACCCACCGAAGTTCATAGAAGAACAGTGAAAGAATTTGTTTTCACTACATTACGAAATTAAATTTCAGAAAAAGCAAGTTTCCTGATATAATGACTACTAATGATCGATCAAGTAAGCCCGAAAGACTATGTATTACTGTTTCTTACAGCACATGATAACATTTTTGTAGTAGCTACACGATCTCGTATTGAAGAGCGTTATACTAGTTATTTGCCTCCAGTTAACGGTCAAGTCGCATCATCATTCACACATGATATGCCGCAGCAGTTTGTTAACACGATTGGACCCTCTGAACGCTATGATGGTAAAGTGTCCGAACTGATTCCGGGTTTGCACAGACAAGCCGCATTGGATGGCGTTCCTCAAGCAGATGTTGATGAGATTGTAGCAATTATTCAACCTCATATTGTTGCTGAAGGGTCCGTGCACCGCAGTCTCTTATCATTTTACAATAAACCTGATACACTTCAAGCCAAAGAAACATTAACATCCACGCTGGTCCATTTATATACAAGAGAGACATTTTTATACAAAATGATTAATCGACATCTACGAGAATTGAATCAAACAGCATTGAGAAATTTAGCACCATTGATTAATTGGATGCGAGCTGGTCTCAAACGAAATGCATCCGTTTCAACTACATATCGTGTTGCTCAGTTGACACCACAACAAATTGCTGAATACCAAGAAGGTTTGCATTTTTGTTGGCCCGCTTTTACATCCACAAAACGTGATCCGAAAGTTGCGGAAAGTTGAAATGGAAATGTGCTGTTTGAGATGACATGGCGAAATGGTGACTTTGGTATGATATTACGACGCGTGCCATGTAGAAAATGTATCAGCATTTCCAGGCGAAAAAGAAATCTTATGGCCACCATGTACGTTTTGGAAAGTAACATCAAACCGTGTCAAAGGCCCGAAAACAATTATAAAATTGACAGCCGACCCAGGAACTGGAGACGGTGATTGGTAATAAGGATGACGATGTTAAAAATATGTATTTTCAAAGCTTATTTTGTTTAAAAATAAATAAAGTGACAAAATGACAAGAACCTTCCCTGGCCCTATCGGGAATATTCCAGAAGATGAATAAACAAGAGGCAACTGGCTGTGAGTGTGGGTGGATGTGGCTGTGGCTGTGCTGCATGCGACTACGAAACATGCACCCACACACATCCAATGTCCACACTAGAGACCTGCGGAGTGCTCTGAAACCCGATTCCAACTCCGACGGAGTCGGAGTCCGGTTTTATGAAAAAGTTTTTCGGAGTCAAATCGAAGTCAACGTCATGCCGACCTTTGAATAACTTTTGCTATTTCAAATCGGAGCAACTGTATTCTTCAGCTTCAGAAAGAAAAAAAGAGAAAGATAACAGTTGCTACGTATATTAAGAACGAGTTTCAAGGAAAAACCTCACATTGATAATCTTTTGGCTGTATCGTTCAAAACACTAACTACGTAAAAGCATAATGTCATCCATGAAAACATATTGCAATTTCATCAGAAACACTACAATTTTCTTGATCACCAATTGGGTGGGTGTGGGTGCGGGTGGGGTCTAGGAGTGGGTGAGTGTGGAATGTGGTTGTGCCCATGCATATCTGTTTAACCATATTCACACATCCACACCCTCACTCTGAAATTTTAAGCGCTCTTAATTGTCCTTCATTGGCTGTTTTTTCTCGTCCTCAGCTATATTCGGTGGTTTGCCATTTGCCCATGCACTTTGTCTTACATTCGAGCGTGGGTTTGGTAATGGCTGTGGTTGCAAGTAGAATCAATATTCATATTGAAACCCACATTTGCTCATAACCACAACCTTCATGTATTTGCTTTTCTTTTCTTTGTTGCATTTTTCCTTCTGCTATGCATTTTCTAACTGTCGTTGTTCTTATTACTTGCTTATATTTATATTAATACTTTCAATTGACGTAAATCACATTCTTTTATTTTATATCCAATAAAGCCTATATGGTAAAGAGAAAATAAAACGGAAACAAATCAAAATTTATGATCTATTGGATTTCATATCAGTTTATTAGTTACAATCAATGTTGATAATTGCTTAAGAAAGTTTCCATTGAATCATCCATATTTTTTACCCATGGCTTGCCAACTTCGATGAGTTTCATGTTTTTCGTACCATTGACAGATTCATAAGATGCGTCACGAAAATTAACAACGTCTACTAATTTTATTTCTAAATATTTCTTTGCCAAATTTTTCGCCTTATCAAAATCGAATTTCGATAAAGATTGACTATTATGATGTGTCCGTAATAAAGCAAGTAGACCACGCATGTAATCAGTTTCGCAATCAATCAAACCAAGAATATCGGTAGATAACAGTGATTTTTCTCTTGTTTTCCATTCATTCACATTTGTTTGCATTTGCTCTTTGCTGGGCAATTGAACATAATCAAGGAAGACGTCACGTACAAGTGCAGCTTGCATATCAAACATAGGAAATGAATATATGTATCTTGTAGCACCTAAATAAGCAAGATACGGTTGTTCAATCCAAAAAATGCTTTTATAAAGATTTGGTGGAAAAAATTCAGTTACACCACAGTGTAAACGAAATCGTTCAGTCATGAATGGATAATAATGACGATAGCCCGTACAAAAAATAATAGCATCGATGTTGTCCATAATGGACCCATCTTTGAAATGAGCTGTTCGTCCTTCCATACGAACAATCATCGGTGCATCTTTAATTTCATCCGGCCATTTCAAACCAATGGGTGCATGACGAGAACTGATTGTTACTGATCGAGCACCAAATTTGTAACACTGTAAAGCAATATCTTCTGCAGACACACTACTACCAATAACTAGCAAATTAAGACCCACAAATTCGTCTGCACCACGGAAGTCATGTGAATGCAGAACTCTACCCGGAAATCGGTTTACTCCATCGATATTAATCATGTTTGGCATATGGTAATGTCCAATTGCTACAATAACACGATCAAACATTATTCGTTCCATTGAACCAGTATGAAGATCTTCAATATCGATAGAAAATTCATTGTTTTTATCATCGAAATCAACATAACGCACAACTGTATTAAAACGAATGAATCGTCGAAGATTGTTAGCCTTAGCTCTACCAATAAAATAATCATAGATAACAGCACGTGGTAAGAATGATGGAAGATAACAACCGAAATGATCATAAAATGTATAATCAGGATATTCAATGACTTCTTTTGGTGTATTTGCCCAAAGACTAAATATAAAGACAAATACTAAAGTATTGGACTATATTAAATTAATTTCTTCTGATAAATTTTCGAATGTGTTTACATTAGATTATTCATCTTGAAGAATCTGATACATCTTATCTAAATGAGTATCGATTTTTAAGAATTATTAACACTCATTTTTGAATAATTCTTGATGAATTTAAGTTATCAAGCTGCAGTTTTGATCCTTCGACAAAGCAGGACAGAGCATATCTACATAAACAAGTTTGATTGGAGTGGTGACTTTTCATCATAATCTTATTAAAACTTGAAATTTTTTTCGATGTTGTATTCTTAAGATCTTCATGGTTACTTGGAATAAAATTGCCTCACACTGTAGTCCATACATTGCTTTTATACAGTATGATTTTCAGAATTTTCTATTATATCATTGAAGAATGAGACGTTTTATACTGAACTACTAAAAACTAACAATACACAAGAAATAATTATGAATCCCTCAGAGATAGAAATTTTTATAGATGCAACATTGACTAACAACGGTTTTTCTCTTTGGAGAAAGATAGTCGCACATGTGTTCTTCACTACTTGTACATCTGACATTGTCCAACAAACGAGCACATTCGCTTTCTTCTTGTAGAGTCGAACTAAAAAAAAACCAATGTATCAATCAGATGGCACAGTAATAATGAAATATGATTCGCTCTTGACTTGTTTGTAGCATCACTCTAAACTTTTTTGTTCCTTATCGTCTATGCTCTTTCATTGTTGGTTCCGTACTATGTACACATTCTTTTTTTTGATTTTATGTTGTAAGTGATACAGCTCTATAAATGATGGTATATAGTTTGCATCTTTCTCTTCGTATTGTTCTGATATTCAAAATCATTAGTTTGTTTTCCTCTTACGAAATATATATACAATGAGATTCATCGCATCAACATCAATTAATAAAGAGAAGACGTATAAATATATTTGAATTCTATCTTTGCAAAAGACTTTAATTCTGATGGCCAGTCGAATATATTCTGTTAAGGTGAAACCATTTTCTCGTCGGTGATATCGTTTATCAAGTTTGAGTAAAGCAATGCTAATATCTCTCTCAACAGCACATTAGAGCGGACTTAAGCCTGCCTTGGAATACCCATACAGTTGATAGACAATCTGAAAAGTGAGATGCATGAAGTCATTGAAGAAGAACGACAACGTCATTTAGAGAAGAACAAAGAGTATAAGGTTTATCTTCTGTGCAGTGGAAGAACTTTAGACACAGCCTCTCTGTTATGAGTGTGAATCGGATTTTTTATCCTCACATCCAGACCCAATGAAACTTATATAAATCAATGTTCTTTGCCTTGCTCTATTGAACGGTAAAAATTACAACTCGATAGCTTCAAGTAACTAAAGCTAATTCGACAAATAGTTGTTAGTACTTATAAAAAGTCCAGCATTAATTATCGTACTTACTGTCGATACATGCTTGAATGAATTGGTTCACCGTAAGCATCTATGCCAATTTGAGATGAATAAAGCCATAACTCACCCCAATCTGATTGTCTTTCGAAACAAACAAGTTCAACTTGTTGTTCTTCTTCAGCTTGTTTAAATGCCAATAATTGTGAAAGGCCACATGGGCCAGCACCAATAATTGCAATTCGTAATTTACTCATCAAATTGCTGTCGGACTAATATCACTAAATTACTTTATGCAGAAAGATAATCTAAAAGTACTAATAGAAAGAAGTCGTTTGATATTTGTAAAAAATGTATTCTTTTTTGTACGTAGAACGAGTTTCTCTGACATTTATGACATTCGAAAATATCCACGCGTTATATGTTCGAATTCTCTAACATATCCTATTGAATTCACTTAGTACATCATCAAATAATTTATATCGAATTCTTTCAATAGGTCTTGATACAGCATGTTGGTTTTTCCCCACACTAAAGGGTACTATATATTTATGCGTGTTTATATACGTATGTCTGTATTTCCCTCTTTATTACGTTTATTTTCTTCCTAGCTTCTTCTCTATTTTCTAGTTCGTTCCATAGCTAGCTAGATTCGTTTTTTGTTTCACTTTTTTGTTTCACTGTCCTTCTTCTATAATCAAGTAGCGTACGAATAAACAAAACTTACGAACAACAATAAGTTGAAATTAAATCTGTATTCTTGCTGCGAAAAGAAATATTATGCATATATGGAGCTTTAAAGATGCTACAATCATATTACGTAGTAGAAAAAGATACTGGAATGCATCAAAGAAACATACTTCTTTATATTACGAAAGCACATCCTATGGCTTACTGCTTTTTTCCTTGCTATTATAATTCGTTTTTCAACGTCTTTATTTAAAATAATTCCGAAGACCATCATATTCTCTCTTTTTCTTTTTCTCAATTATTTACCATCATTGTTTTGACTTTCTTTGGTCAAAGAATGAAATCGTACGAATATTTTTTGTGGTAAATATGAATCTCTATGTATCTAATTAATTCTTAGTACCGCAGAGGCGTACTTCAGATATGTAAAAGTGTCCACACTAATGATCGCCTCAAAAATCATTTCATCTCATTAATGTTTTTTACCTTCTAAAAAAAGTCTAATAATTCTATACTGTTACTGGAATTTTCAACCATGATGCCTAACATCAACACAACTAGCAAGCCTGACAAGCGACGAAAACGTTTGTCTTCACCTGTAATAAGGACATTAAAATTTTTTTTGAACGAGAAAAAAGCAAGGCGGTGCAAGTTAATATTTTTTCAATATTATTTTCTTGAAAAACAGTATATTGAAACGCGTTAATATGTGCTTTTTTCACTTGTAGAAACATTGAGGCTTCCATTATCCATCTGCTTGAGCACCATAATCAGTATAAACCTAACAACAAAAGATCTGAAAGCTCGATCAGGAAATCCAAACGTTCTGGCAAGATCAATAGCCGAGTCAAAACGCAAAATTTTAGCTACTAGTTCTTTGAACTCACACAAGCTCATTCTTTCTTAAACGGATTCCAACTTTACAAAAGAGGAATTCTTCTAAAATTCTTCTTGGCTAAGTTAGATTGTTTTCTAATCTGCTTTTATTGGTGCTTCTAGCGTATTGCTTCATCAAAGCATTTAATAGCAAACTTTGTCAGGCAGCTTCTTGCTTACTTCGATCCTAATTACACACGAATTCATCGTGTTCGAAAATCCGACCTGTGGGAGGGCGGAATCTTGATTCTTAGAGAAGTACACAATAGCAAGTAATGAAATCTTCATAGCCTTTTGATAGACGCGCAACACTTGTCGGCATTCAATCAATGCTATGATCATCAGCAAAGCGAAAGAGCATTTCATCTATTATCCAATCGCGACCAATGATACGCGAGACTGGTCTACTTTCATTTTGGTTGAATCGTTTTCAGGAAAACACTGTTCATAAAAAGTCATAAATATTTAGCATCTACACAACAGGTCAGGGTCAGAATGTCATTTACGTATGGAATCGGTGCCATAGTTATTGTAGTTGCAGCGAAATTGCAATGTCTACTTAGAATCCTAAGAGATCATATTCTTTACTAAGTGGTTTATCGACCAAGTTTCTAATGTGTTTTTATCATAGCGATGAGCTTATTGGATGGCTTAGTACATATTGAACTGTACTTTGCAAACGATCGTCTTTGTCTTTGTTGATAATCTGAGAGTCATCTGCAAATACGACAAAGTCGTATTTTGATAAAGTTTATGAGATGATCAACACTGCTATTGATCCAATAAGCAGACGAGTGAGTAAGATTTTTTTCTGTTACATTATTCAAAATGTTCACACTGAACCCTTGGCAGGACAGGTCCAAATGATTCCTAAATAATAAATTTCTTTTCTCATAACTCAAAATTAGTTTTAGATTACTCTTCTCCGACAGTAATTTCTCAACGATTTTCACTCACCAAAAATCCAACATACACGTGCTCTCCTACAAATTATGGATCAATATAGTGTGTAGAATTTGCCTGTTTTTTTATGTCATTGCTGGTGCTTTGCACAATTATAACAAGCCATGATCGATATTCGTCTCATCAGCGTCAAGAACGAGCAAAATTCCATTAGTTATCACATAATCCAATGGTTTTTCAATTGAATTTATTGACTTGTGTACTGATTTCAGCCTAAAATCGTTTGCCGAAGTATTTATCCACACATGGTAAAGACAAATGCTATGTTCTTCATCCTTATCTTTCCTTTCGGTCATGTCGGTTGAGAAATAATGTTTAATAGAAAAAAAAGGTTTTATTTGATAGATAAAAAACGAAGTATTTATTATTTTAGGTTCTTATCTTTTTCTGTCCTTGTTCGCTGTATTCTAACAAAGTATGCAGAAGATTAACGACGTTTTTCTAAAGGTTGAAAACAACAATATGACTGTCATCATCTCGATTCGGAGGTGTAGGTGTAAAAAAAGAAAGACACTCACATCGAAATACCCACACTCCCATCCTCAAATGTTTTACTCAAAATCTAAATTAGAACAATAAACAGCATATCACGGACTATATATTAGTCGTAAAATTCACACATCTGATAATTATGTCAATTTGTCGTTAAACAGTATTGATTAATGAAAATCGCGGACTTTCAAAAAAAAAACTGTAATTTTTTTTAATGATGAAGTCCGCTTAAATGTAGTTCCTAGGTGCTTCATATTTCTTCATGGTAATCAACTGTGAATCTCTCTATATACTAATGAAACATCATAAACTGAGGAAAACTATATTTTTACTACCTGAGACACACATAAAACATTACTAGGCTGAGCAATTTTAACAGATTTCAGGCCACACGATTATGGATTATTGATTCTTACACATTGGAAAAAAACTACAGATGTTACGAGATCAAAAAACAGCTTAACATGACCTTAAAGTCTTCCGGTTGCACAGTAGATGGATCACAGCGCATATATACCAGTCCAAAACACGTACTATGTTATTCGAGTGTTGACTCAGATAAGAGTAACATGGTTTCGAAACTATTGCAAGTCATGAATTTGCATAACAAGGTTGCAGATACTATCAGATATCATTGTAATCGAGTTGTCAGATAAGTACCTGATGTGTTTACAGTAGTAACTTTACATACCTACACCGGCGAGCTAGAGACAGATGTTTATATACTTTTGAGGAAATAGGAGTCACCAAAAGATCTTCAAAGTTTTTTTATTTAATTTTTACTTCCATCCTATTATTGTTTGCTTGTTTCAACAATTCTTTGCATCATTTCATGAACTGCGAAGAAATCGATCGACATATCAAAGGTTCACACGACATCAAAAGCTCTTTATGTTTCCCTTAAAGAATTTTCCATCAAACCAAAACACAAGTGATACAAGCTAAACCAGAAAATGCTCTCAGTCAGTTTCGATAATAAACTACTGAAAACATTAAAAATACTTATTCTGTTCATAAGGAATCACACAGGCTTTGTAGCACCATTGAAACCACAAAAAATATGCCTATTACTAACAATGAGACTTTCAACATCGCGGAACATGTTGTTTGATGATATCCTGATTCCTTCTTACTACTAGAAAGGCCTACATGGTAGTCCGACTGAAACATATGACAAAAATGGTAGTTTATCCTTTTGCCCTTCTGCATCTACGAGCATACATTAATATCATTTTCTTGTCACAAACAGATATTTAAATATATCAGATGAAGTATATTTACTAAAACTCCTATCTCTTGAGAAACAGCTAAGCACAAATACTTTTTCCTTTGAAACTGCGTAGAAAATTTTTTTCTACCATATAGTTTTTCTCCAATTCACAAGTATCTTAAAAATCCGTTCTTTTGTTGCAGGATGATTTTTGGATATCTTTAACGACTGCTATTTTGTGAATTTAAAATTTTTCTGAATAGCAACAGGTAAACTTTTTTTAGATGAAAATGTTTCAGAAAAATATTTTCTATCGTTCTGATTTTATGTCACACTACAGTACCTCAAAGTTAAGGTGTTTGGTTGGGAATGCATCTTTAAAGATCTTGGTAGATCATTATTAAGAAAAGCTCAGATTTTAGACTTCCAATACCGGTAGTCAAACGGTTCGTCCGTTGCAACATGATGGAAAATAATTTTCTATGGTTGTCAATTTACGCTGCACTTAAATACCTAATAACTATGCTATTGGATTTTTGAACAATATTAAAAGATTAGATCTTTTAAGATTTTATCGGATCTGTAAGGTTATCCGATTAATAGCTTGCCGAATCCTGCCGTAACCAATGCTATCTCTCGACAATCTGATTATCTTTCTGGTTGGATAAGATAAGTCCCTGTGTAGTTTCCTGTAGGTTTCACGATTTTTCGCCGGGATTCTGTCTTATTTCGTGGAATTTCAAGCCGCAGGATAATCGTTGAAGTTTCAAAGTTGTGGAACAGAAATGACAAGAATAGGCCGAAAATAAAGGCGTTTTCGATAGGTTCCAAAAGGATCCGGAGACCGGAATCATTGACCTGGGTGTCTATTGTGACTTGGAGAAAATCTTTCAAAAATTTCTTTCATCATTCTGCGTAACTATAAGGATAACCTTCAATCCATTAGATTTACTCTAATACTGATAATCCGATGTATAAATATTCAAATTGGATTTGAATATGATCTCATTTTAACACCTTCCTAAGAATGGATCTACCAGTGAAATCTCTAGTTTAAATATGACAATGACTCTTAGATCATCATCCATAATCAATTGTCTATCTTTACATTTCAGAAATTATAGTATGTGAAGAGATATAAGTCAGAATAGACAATAATATTCATGTGGCTTTCTCTCATTCATTTCATAACTGTTCAAAATTAAATAAGTTCAAAAAAAAAAAAGAAAAAATTATCGAAAAACTTCAGCCATAGATTAATGTTTCGTTATAATATATAAACTATTAGATATCTGTGATTGAAAATCGAACATTTTAATTCTGAAAAGATTATAGTAACAGATTTCTTTTCTTGCTATGATTACTCAATTCTAAATATTGTCAATGAAGTATTTCCCACGATTGTCCATTCTCTATTGTTATTTTTAATGTACATAAACGATAATAACAATCATCATCATTTGATGGTTGTTCTGAGAATTGAAATCCAGCTGATGGTAGTAAACGAAATGCACGTGAAGTATTACTAGATTCTGAGGTCGACCAAAGTTTGATTCATTGAGATTTTCGATTTTTATTCAACTATACGTTTTTATTGTATATACTTCAGGCCAATATCGCACACATTTGCTGTATTAAATAAATTAGTTTGTATTCATTTATACATTTGTCTCAAATGTAATTAATTACTTTTCTTCAAAAGTAGAAGTAAGGAAAATCTCAATAATTCACCGACTTATATATGTAGTTTTAACAGCAGACCGACTTCAATTAGTCAATAAGATTCTCGGTACAAAAAGATGTGAGAAAACAACCAAAAACCAGTGTCAAAGATAATCTAATGACAGTGGTTGTTTGAATTTACAATGTACACAGTAAGAATGCATTTGGGACAATGCGTACGAAATTTAATAAAACTTTCAGTTCTATAAGACGCACTAGAGCCAAAGAAATAATAGTCAAAATTCTATAAGAGTTACAACTAGATAGTCTACAATAAAACCAAAAATTGATCAAATAATCTCAATTACATTATTTATTAATGGTTTATAAGTTTCTCTTTTTTCATATTCCTTTAGTTTCTATCGAATCTCAATATTATTGATCTTCTGCATCTATATGTACAATCAATTGAATATAAATAGGATGCTTTTTTTTTTCAATATAGAGAATGAAATTTTGAACATCATATTCCAGGCAACATATGATAACGAATATGTGAACTAGTTCTGTGAGATTAAATAAAATCTTTTTTTTATGACTAACAACGAGCTTTGTCTCATATTTTATCTTGAATCCTAGAAAGATTATACTAACAACTATCCGATGATAAATACAAAAATTGACCTCAATACTACTTTACATACCAAATTGATCTGTAACATTTTTTAGATAAACAAAAAAAAAAAGACTAGTACATATATTTATTGATAAAATATCTTCATCCCTTCTATTTCTCTTGCAGTCATAGCAATACATTTAACTGTTTTCTGTTGTAGCATATGCCAAAAGTCATTAATTGTTGCTGTTCAAGGTGCTTGGACAGCAATATGTCCTCGTCTAATATTTTCAATAGGTGGACGTATATGATTAGCATTTATACAATTTGTAACAGCATACTTTTTTAAAACAACTAGTGTTTCATCATATTGTAGAATATATTTAAAACGATTTCTTATACAATTTTCAGATTATTCGCCATGTCTTTTATGATAAAATAATGATTTACATTCGGATTATTGATTTAATGATTGAAATTCTAAACTAAAATCATTACGATATCCATATTGTATTGCAACTAATTTTGATGTTCACAACGTTGATACATATCACGTGTATGAAACCAATTAGCTGTACATAGTTGAACAAGACAAAATGCTGTATTATTTGTTGCAACAAGTATATTATATTTTAAATAAAAATGTATTAAATCATCTAATGATTTAAAATAATTGATTTGTTCACGTCAACTTTTACCATCAAGAAATCATTCACAATCTAAACATTTGATTTTATCATTAGCTATATCATTTTGCGTTTTCACACAAATAACACAACTACCTGGTATTGCTTCAGAATCTCGAACAAGAAAAAGGTCAACTTGATCGCATGCATTTAATATTGATTCTGTCGGACTATGAAATATCGGTTCATGATTATATTTTAGAATAGATAATTGAATATGAATAGAATTCTTTTTTAGTTTTTCATTTCATTTAAATTGTGATGCCTTAATATAACCTGAACGAAGATGTTCACAATGATGAAACAATTCTGTTATACGAAGACCTAATGCTATCGTTTTAACGCAAGTTTTTTCTTCAGCTAATCAAATTATTGATAGAACATCGGGTGAATATGTCGGTATTGAACTATAAATATTCAGAATATATTTTTAAACTTATAGACGCAGTTAGTGTTACATCTAATAGTAGAAGAATAATAAAATGGTGCTCATTCTTTAAACACAACATTAGTTGCCTAAGACAAAAGAATAATTTATACAAACTATTGAATATTTACACAAGTTTTTCACTTGTTCCCAAACTTCTGATCATGAAGAACATGTTAGCTCCTCAAGTCAAACAATCGAATAATCAGAAAATCTGATCCGAATCTTGTGGAAATAGAAAGAAAACTTAGATCTCATAAGAATTTTCTTATAGTCAGTGGGAATTCTCAATTAATTGCAATAGAATTCTATCAATATTAAAACAAATAATGAAGTTTGATTATAAGTGTTATTCAAATGAGCAAAACTCCTCTTGATCAATGACTTTTGAACTCAATAAATGATATCTACTTGGCGTAATCCCAACGTTAACCACCATTTCTACTCGTTGTTACCTTAATCAAGGTTTCGCTGTGCATAAACTATATACAACAGCCATTCGTGCTTTATATAACCATATCAACATCTTTCTCAATGGTTTTGTTTATATTTCGTCACGCTAATGCGCATAGACGTCATTTTTAGCCATGAGTGAGTCGTCCTAGTCAGATGATTACGACTATTACCTTGAAAACTAAACTCAGACATATATTGAGTATTTGTATATATATATATATCAAGTTTTAAGGTCAAATAATGGATTTTGATTTAAATAATAATAATAATTTTAATACCAAATCAACTGATCTTAGTTGTATGGATAATGGTATTCGAAATATTGATGAAATACTTTTACATAAAAATTAACTTTCAATTAATTTACATTCAAATGCAATTGCACAAAGAACTGGTTTAATTGGATTCAATTATTTAACTCATCTTGATTTATCATCAAATAATATAACACGTATACAAGGTCTCGAAGGTCTCGTTTCATTAGATATATTAAATTTAGCATCAAGTAAAACTGTTGTTATTGAAGGTTTATTGGCATTAAAGTAAAATAATATTAGAAATAATGTTTTTTCTAAAGTAATGATCTCATATATTTAGAAAATTATCATGGCTTCATTTATCATATAATAAAATAGAATATTTACAAGGTTTTCAAGATCTCTAGGTACCTGAACATAATTTAGCTATTATACAAATGCATGGAAATCTAATTGAGTAAGAATATTTAGGAGAATAAAAAAAAATATTTAATTATTTTTTTAAATTAGTTCTTTGGATGATGTTGTTAAAAATATGAATGGTCTTTCTCGTTTACAACATTTTACCTTTCGGAAAAAATCCAATAGCAAAAAAAGATGGTAAATATTCAAACATTTTGTTTGAAAAAACTTATCGAGTTGCATTATATAATCGTCTTCAAACGTTAATTAGTCTAGATGGACTGAAATAGATAAACACGGAAAAAAAAGATATAAATAGACAAGGTCTTAAGAGTAATCTATTCATCAAAAGCAGAAAAAAAAAACATGTATGACCATGTTTTTTAATTTAGGAATTGAACAGTATGTTGTCAGATATTAAAGTTTTTCAATGAATAAATCATATTTTGTTTTAGGCATGATGTAACCAATTCTTTATCGCAACAGTATCTAACAATCATTGAAGCAGTTAATGCTTTTCGACATAATCCAAAAGCTATGGAATCAAGTACAACAACAAGTGTTGATATTCATAATGGATCTCTTTCGGTATTATATATCTTCTTATTATTGATAAAAAAACGATCATTTTTATGAAATACGATTGGAAAGGAGTGTTTAAAGTAGAAACGTCTGACTTTGCAAAAGATTTCATCATATTTAATATTTTTAATGTCACAAGGAACTGTGCTAACAATTGGTTTTTTTTATTATAGGAAGTGGAAAATGAATTTACACTTTGTAATAGAAAATTGACTTGAAATATCAAGTCGACATCCTTTAACTCATGATAAACATACAGGTGAGTTAATTCGAAAGTATTTTATTTTTCTTCATTCAATTTCTTTTTCAGGTCGGTATTCATTAACTGAAAATGATTGGATTCATTACCAACAAAGACTTCTCGATTAAAACCACCATCAACATTGACAAATACAGTTATACAATCTACACCTTGAGGGTGTGGGTGTGGGTGTGGGTGTGGGTGTGGGTGTGGGTGTTATTCTTCTCTTTAATAACATCCACAGCCACAGTCACACCCACCCACACCCACGCCCAATCATGCCCCAACACCCACCCTATCTGTATAAAAGAATTTTTGAACCATCTCTCCCTGATATTCATAAATCTGAGAGAAAAAAGTTCGCAAATTGGGTTCGAACGACTTTCTGGAAAGAGCAAACAATGAAAATTCTCTTTTCGGACGAGAAACTCTTTGACATCGATGGTGTTCACAATGTTCAAAACGATCGAATTTGGGCGCCCAATCGTGTCAAAGCTAATCAAAAGGTGGCATTATGGGAAAGGAAAAGTTTTCATAAAAAGTTATGATTTGGCTTGGCGCATGCTCCAAGGGTATTACTCCTTTAGTCATTTGTGAAGACGGAACCTTGGATCATGCTCGATACATGGCAGAAGTTGTTCCTGTGGCCCTAGAATATGGTAATCAAATATTTGGCAATGATTGAATATTTCAACAAGACGGGGCTATGCCACATGTTCATCATTTAACCCAGGAATGGTATCGGAACAATTTCCCAGCATTTTTGAATAAAGACTGTTGGCCTGCAAATAGCCTGGATTTGAAACCCACTCGACTATTGCATCTGAAATGAACTAGCACTGGCAATGAATTCGGATCAACTTACATCAAAACAAACTTTGATCGAAAAACTTAGAGGTGACTGCAAAAAAAGTTCGACCAAATGTAGTTTTTGAAAATTGTAATTCATGGGCTACACGTTTGTTAAAAGTTTCAAAAAGTCATGGTGAACATCGAAAGAAATAAAAAGAATTGATTTTTGTAGAGAATTAGATTCTACGTTTTTTGAAAAACGATTAGACCGGTACGATGTCTTTTATTGAGATTTTGAAACAATACGTAGAAGAACATTTTTGTTGGGACACCCGTTAAATTACATATTTAAAGAAAAAAAAATTATTTATAAAACGTTCGGATTCGTATCGAGTTTCTATTTATCAAAATATGCACTGTGCGCTTCTTCACTCTTGACACTTGCCAAAAACATAGTACTTTCATTAAATCCAAAGTTGTATATCGTCGCTATACTATTTTTATTCCAATGTAAAAAATACGAACCGTCATCAATTATTTCCAATAGCGTATATACCTTATGTTTAATAGTTTCCTCAGAGAATTGATTTCCAGTTTTGTGTTGAAAGACCGCTTTGAAATACTATTAGTCAATACACTCTCGTTTTATAATCATATTAGTAAGAAAAGCTTCTATTATATTTCAATATATTTCAATCATTAAAGGTCTTGATACAAAAAATCGATATCGTCGTAATGAATTTTTTGTTGAACATTTATATAGTAAATACAATATTTTTTCTCCTTATGAGAATGAGTATTTCTCCAAGACAATCACAATAATTTTTAAAAAAGCAGAGTGTAGTTTGGTTAGTTTGTTCTTTAATTTTGAGAAATTCTCATGACAGTTTATAAAAATTTTTAAGAAAATAGCAGAAATTACTTTACTGGTATTAAATGAGTGATGAATATTCTTTCAAAATTATTAGTCACGATGAAGAAAAGTTAACTGATTTATCTCTTCATAAGCATGACGAATTATTACGACAGTGTTTGATATTAAAATTGTCTGGATGTGTATATGAAGAAAAAACAAATTTCGAAATTTTTATTGACATTACTTATCTTCGTTTTTGTTTTCTTTTCAATGAATAACTCGAACCTTTTATTGTCATATTGACTCATATCTTTTGTTTTGTTGACTTTCTTTACATCATTTAAAAATGTTAGCGAATTCTCTTAGACACTAATCATTTAAGACATCAGTTTCGTTGTATCTATTTGAGAGAACTTAAATATGGAGACGATTGCATGATAACTATAAGGTAAAGTAAGAAAAATTAGACTAAGTATGATTTAAATCTGTTCTACTTTTGATTAATGCAAAAATGTAATACTTCATTAGAAGGATGCATAGATCCAACGAATATAGTAAATACTAAACTCAAAAGGTATGATATTGTTTTTAGTTTTAAAGTAATTATACATTTCTTAAAAATTCAAGCGCACAGAACATTGTTCATTTCTTTGCAAAACTATTTATTTTTATCGGTCAAATATGAGCTCAAGTTAATCTTTTACCAATAGTCACGTTCAAGTAGACAAATTCACGAATAAATTGAGTTTTTGATTAAAACGATGTTTATTAGAATATGAATCCAGAGCTTCGTATTCATGATATCCATATTCAAATCAATAATTACCTCCTCGGGTTCAAAGAATAGGTGCGAACTCCTTTTCCTTTGTTCTAAACCTACTTATCACATCTTCCCATTTTTGTTTAAAAAAATAGCATGAAAAATTACACTATCTGACTGAGGAGGGAACATTCCCAAGTGTCACATCACTTTTAAGTCGAGCATACGCGCAATATGTAGATTCTAGCGATCTATGAATTCTCTGAAAAAAGTTCGTGCTGCTAGCTTATTATTGCTGAGATACTGCTTTTTTACTGTATGTTTAAGAAAAAAGAGCTGTGGTCCCCCTCAAGGACACTTGAAAACCTGAATTTCGAATTTCGAGTTCAAACTTTGTATAGATATAGATCTCAATGAGAATAGTTTGTTGTGAAAGTTTCAGCTCTTTTCCCTGTTTCCATCCTAAAATACAATTATCTTAAAATTGCTTCTATACACCGACAGATCCGATGTTCCTATCTTGGACTCTGAACTCAAAACTCACTTTTTCTAATGTTCCTGAGGGGAACTACGGCTTTTTCCTAAACATATAGTAAAAATGTTGTATCTCAGCATCAAGAGGCTAGCGGCGCGAATTCTTTTCAGAGAATTCATAGCTCATTAGAACCTACCTAATGTTCAAATGCTCAACTCAAAAGTGGTGTGACACCATTTTTTTTTAGTTTTTTTTAAGCACGGAATGTGTGATGCTCTGTTACTGCTAAATTAAGTACTTTTTACCAATATCTATTGAATACTTTTAGAAAAAAACATAATACACAGCTCAAAATTTCATACTATTTGAAGTTGTCTCTCTCATAATCGACTTTTAGATAAGAAGATGATTTAAGACTGATTGAGTTTCCCCAGCAAATTATATGTTTTTATTGAAGTCAATAGTGATAGTGCGGAATAATATACATTGATGGCTGAGTTGTCGAGCAAAACTTTGAAGAATCCTTTATCATTAAGAGAAAAAGTAAGTTCCGTGGAATGAAGCAGGCTGAAGAAATTAAGCCCCCCCCCCCCCCCTCAAAAGAAGTCAGTTTTTGTGAGAACTGTCAAAATTTAGATAAATTCATGGAGAGGTAGCCCGTCGTCTGCTCTTTCAAAATTGATAAAAACTTTTCTTGAAAAGACCTTTTTTCTTAGGAAATTTTCAAGACTTCAGAGACCCCGCTTTCGAAAAACCAGCAGTTTTTTGAAATTTCTAAAAATCTTTTTTGTTTTTTCTCATTTTTCGTTTTCTTCAACACGCATCCCACATTTCTCTGCAACGTCTGCTACAATGTATTAATATTTTTTTGTTTGTTTGAAAGAGCATGTCAAGACGCAGTGCGCTACGTCGCCCTTTTTTTGAAAAATTCCCTTTTATTAGGATGTTTGAAACCAGTTATATAATTTGGTTACCATTTTTTGATCAATTTTTTAGCCATTCAACTTATGATCTCTTTTGTCTGATTAAAAAGGGAATTTTTCAAAAAAAAGAGCGACGTAGTGTACTGCATCTTGACACGTTCTCTCAAACAAACAGAAAAATTAATACATTGTAGCAGCTGTTACAGAGAAATTTGGGATGCGAAATCAGCTTTTTTTCGACCTTGTTTGGTAAATATCTCCCTCAAATCTGATAGTTTTGGGCTGGAAATTTTATCATAGACTTTTTTCACCGACTCCAACATTTTCTCCAAATTTCAGCTCATTCTGACGTTCCTGGGCCAAAATCGATTTTTGAGGAAGGCCTTGATTGTGCTTTATTTTAATGATGTCAAATAAGCTATGTTGTTTTATAAAAAATCGCATAATGTTTATGATTCACATTTTCAGATGACTATAACCCGACCCTATACAGTACCTATTATTGCCAGCGACTTACGTCGTGCCGAACTTGTTAAACAATTCGCTGATATATTCGAACATGTGGAAGCTATATTGCAAGATATATTAAATCGCGTAACTATACGTCTCAATGTTTACCGTGCACAACTAAAAGAATTTGATGAACGCATCCAACATGGTAATACCCATATTGATCATATTCAAGGTTCAAAACATGCTATTCAAGTTCATTCAAGTGCAACTTATCCAGTTGAAAAATATCGCTCGACATATAAATCAATATTTGAAAGTGATACATATAATGAAGATGATCAACCGTTTGCACTTCATTATAATTTATTTCACTTAAATGAAGCAATGGATAAATTTATTGATTGTAATGATAACAATTCAAAGTCTAATGATGATAGATTAATTATATTAAATCAATATGAAGATAATTTTATGCAAAAAACAAAGAAAGATGTTTTAAATGGTTTAGGTAGACTACCAATTAATATTAAATCAGTGGTTTCATTGCTTAAATATAGAACAAAAGAAAATTCGCATGTAATCAATAAGAAAATATAATGAATTTTGTTCGTTATTTTTGTTTTTCTTTTATATAGTTATATACAGTCAACAAAATCTGATTCATTAAATGTAGGCAAACGTATTCGTAAGCAAATCAACGAATCTACTCAACCAAGTATGATACATTATCCCTTTAGGTCTGAGAAATATAACATTTTATTGTTTGTTTTTTCTTTTCTCAAGGTATGGATGAAATATTGTTACCTTCATTTCATAAAGAAAATTCTGAACGTCCAGCAGTAGATAATTTTGCTTATAATCCTACAATAGGTCTTGTACCTCAACTATCTTTGCCGGATAATTTACCAGAACTTGATAAATGTGCAACTTTCGATTATGATCCTACCAACTATTGGGATTTACCATCATCAGTGATAACCAGTACGTCTCCAATTGAATCTTCAGAAATAATTGGTAAATATTTTATTGCAGACATTCAGATAAATTGACAAGAAAAAAAATTATTACTCTTTTTTGTTGTTATTGTTTAGTACCGACCATTACTCTCACATCGACTTCAGATTTTGTTCCCATTCGAGTTCCATCACCAATGCCACCAGCAACTGCTTTACCATCATCCTTAGCAATTCCTCCATCTTTAACGCTTTCAACAAATGTTAATGAATCCCAGACATTGATTAGCAATGAGTTTAACAATGATCATAGTGGCAATCTTAATAGTGGGAATAGTTTTGATAAAGAACTTCATCGTTTTCGTGAAGAAAAGAAACTTAAACCAATACAAAACTCAAGTCCAGCTGATAAAAAACAATTGATAAACCCACATGGATCAGAGTTTTCTGCAGAACATATAATAGCAGAAATCGCCAAGCGACGTCTATATATTATTGGTAAAAAAGCATTATCAACACCAGAAACTTCTGCAGATAATTCAGATGAAGACAATCATGAATGGGAAGAAGACGAATAACTTTTTCTAACGATTATTTGCTAACAATTATGTTTTTCTTTGCAATATTTTTCAAACATTAATTATGAATCGAAAACAATTATATATTATTCCCTTGCCTAAACTTATGTATCTATATAGAAAAGCTGTTAGCGCAATCCCTTGTAAGATTAAAAGCGTGAAACACGATAGAACTACTGTACCTAATTCAATAGAAATTGTATTGTTTCGTTTCTTACAAAAGATTCGTTGCCAACCGCTTGCCTTATGCTTTAGAACAAGTTTCCCTTTCACACTCGGCGATGGTTTTTTCAGGAGTCTGTCAGTCTGTGACGGGTCAAAAGTCTATCCGTCACAATCTGTGGGAAGGGAGGAAGTGGGTCCAAATTTCTACCCTTTAAACACTTCGACACTCCTGTCAGATCGTGTTTCACAAAAAAATGAAAGAGTATCATATCATCACACTGACTAGGTTGACGTACGCTTACAACACTATATAAAGATGAGAGAGTTCTAATTATGATGATTATGTTCTTAATTTAGTACTCAATAACAAACTATTATCCATTTCCAAATAAAAGAAGGGTGAGTATTTTTAGAATAATTTTTGATGGGAACTAGATAAAGATCTGCGGTTTTTACCATGTAAAAGAGACGATGAAACTACATCGAATTACCAATACCAGATTTTTCTGGCATACTTTCTCATGGTCCTGTGACAAGTTTTCCGACAACAAAACTTTGCGTAATGTAAAAGTTTCGAAATTTGATGTTTCAGTAGTGCATCAGAATCATTAACTACAGCTCAATAACCTCTGTAAGCCCGATGCTAAAAGGCTTAGCTCATCACGTGTTATAAAGATTTTACTAAGTATTTTCGACGTATTTTTGATGAAAAAATCGCTTTTTTTCATATTTTTTCTTAAAAAATCTATCTTCTAACCCTTTTAAAAGGCCGCAATTTTATAAAAATCTTGGTGGCAGACTCCGAAAGACTGTACCAGAGAAATTCGGTATTGATAATTCGATGTAGTTTTGTCACCTCTTTTAAATGGTGAAAACCGCAGATCTCGATCTAGTTCCCATCAAAAATGATTCCCAAAATACTCACCCTTCTTTTATTTTGAAATGGATAATAGTGCTTATTGCCTTGTTTTACATTAGACGTTAATTGAAACTCTACAATCAAACATGTGTAATATATATTTAACGTTGCGAGCGTCAATTAAGTTGTAGATATGAGTGAAAGAAGAACCATGCCTTATACTTGTAAATTTGTAAACAGAAAAGAAAAAGCAATTACTAATGAAGCATGAAAAATGATGAAATATTTTTCTTTGTAGATTGATCTTTTGGAGTTTTCAAAAACATCATCTAAGGTATAGATGATGCAAGGGTCTCGATCATCTCTTAATAATACATCTAGTCTTTAATAAGTGTCTAAAATCGATTTTCCATTGCATAGGAAATACTTTTTTACAAAATACAATGAAATTCAGAAAAACTTTCTTTTGAACTGTGAACATATATTCATACAGAATTCTTATTAGCTGAGTTGATGTACTCTTAATATCTAGTAATTCAAGACGTATTTTCGTCATTTACAGGAAATGTTTTCACAATTTTGTCTACAATGTATAACTTCTGCAATCTTGGGTGTGGGTGTATGGGTGTGGGTGTGAGTGTGGAGTGTGTGTGAAGAAAGATCAATACTCACACCCACATCCTAGCTCTTAATCGTATGCGTAGTTTGGATATAATTTTTAATTCTTTCAACATTGTTCAAATCTAGAATCTTTCTATTTTTTCAAAATAGTAGTCTTCTTTTATTTTAATATGTTGTTATACAAATTCAGGAGTAATGTGAAAAAAATGTCCATTTCGTAAAAGATTTCTTTAAAAAGGATACTCAAAACTGATTTATCAAAACAGGAATATTATTTTTGTTTTTCATATTATCTTTATCTTATTTCCATGAGGATATATAAGCCTCAAATTTGGTATAACGTCAAAGGCGATCATAAAAATCTACAAAGTCTCATAGTTTTCTGATTACACTTTTTTCAATATTAAAAAGTTTATAATTTTCTGTTATATATGTCTCCATTATACTTTACAATCACTGAGTTTCCGTATGAATGATTGAATTGTGGACTTCAGTGATATATTAATTTCTAAAAAAACATTCATTTGAAAATGGATATCGAGTGTATTAATTATTTATGTCAACATAACTATAAATGAATTTGTTATTTGTATTATTGATATCCGAACTTATAATTAGATATTTCTCTTCTTTCAATAATAATTTTCAATGATATCGAATAAAAATTTGTTATAAGAAGAAAACTTTAAAAATTGATTGCAATAATGTTGTTTCGCTTGAGAAATGCTTCTATTCTTTTTATAAAATTTACTCATATAAATTATATTTTCCTTTATAGGATGTGGGTGTAATGGGGGCATTAAGATAGAGAAGAGCACACCCACATCCCACGCCCTATGTATGACAATATTAGCTATTTTTAATAGAATTGGCTGATAAAACTTAATATAGCTATTAATCAACTTGGTTATATCATTGTTAATAAATATGTCATCTACAACAATGAGGGTGGATAGATGTGGATATCGGTGTGAATGAACATGACACATCCCGACCCACACCCACACCCAACCACACACCCAACTCATATATAATTACAATCAAAACATAAAATCTTCATATTAAAATCTATATCGTTTATCGAACATTAAAATAATATATGATAAAACTATAAAAAGATCTTCCAATCATTTATTAAGATTAGGACAAGCACATGATAATACTCAACAAGTTTTTTTTACAATTAATATTTCATGTTTTAAATCAAACGTTTTAACTTTGAAAAGTTTTAAAAATGAAAGAAAAAACAAGAATAAAAACATCTTTTATGCATTTGAGATATATTCCAAACTATTCAGTGAAATCTTTTATGTTATTGTTTTCGATTTATTTGAAAATAATTTAGTTTGGGGTGTGGGTGTGGGTGGGTGTGGGTGTGGGTGGGTGTGGGTGTGGGTGTGGGTGT